ATTGAATCGAATACAGGCTATTTCCAGCCAAATGCATCTTCTGGTAAGAGGTTTGGGTAAATGGAGGGACTCTGCAGGGTGACTGAAAATAAAACCTCTACCACATACTGGAAAAAAGCAAAAAAAAAAGATGACTTCTGGATTCACAGGCTTCCAGAGGGGCAAGTTTTCAGGTTATGCCTCCAGATAGTTCAGTGCTAAGCAGATGCAGATGCCCAGCAGACCCAGGTGAAGCCCTGTCCTTGTAAAGGCAGGAGTCAGGACCTCATCTTCCTTGTACAACCTGAATCTGAAAATCTTCTCTGTTTCAAAACTGTGCCAGTATATGCACATCTTTGCTTAGGATCTGGGATCTCTCTGATCTCACTGACATCCTACAAAAGCCTTTCTTTTTGGAGGAGAAAAAACAACAACTCTGCATTTAGAACTAAATTTGCTTCCTCTTTTCAGTTCACAATTTGTAACTCTTCTGCTCATTTCAATTACTAGCAGGGATAATCACCCAAATGTTAGCAATCAAAATAAGGATTTCTTGTTTGCAGTCAGAAGTACCTGCACTAATCTGATGAAGAAAGTAACATAACACAGACTTTTGTGCCTAACCAAAGCAGCTTGCACTTAAGTATTGAATTCTCCTGGTGAATTGCTAAGCAAGTAAACACAATTGAAAAGAGTTTCAAAACACAGGAACTTTGAGGAAAAATGCAGTCTGAGCCATAAATCTCAAAAGGGTAAGGAGAAAGAAAGAAATGCATCAGATTATTCATTACAGATTTAACACTCACCTCAGATTAACAGGAAGCCCATTTTCTGATCCTAAGCGTAACAACAGGCTGTAATCTAAAACAGCTTTTATATGTTAATAAATAGAAAAGTTATTTCAGTGTGAATTTGGAGAAAACCTGTGCCAATCGCCAGCACTACAGAGTGTTTCCTTGTAAAGACATGGCTTGCTGGCTGCGTGTTGTGACACTGAATACAGTAAGCAAATGAGTGGTTTCTGCTACCAATTCAATCAGTAGATTTGAAATGGAATTAACCTTTTAAAAATGCAAAGTATTCCTTACAGCAGATGGTAGTGTTTGCATATACAAATACCTCTTGGAAATCATAATGTAAACCACATGCTCTGAAACAATAAGATTCCTGAGCTGAACCCTTCATCCTCCTGAAAATGAAAAATAACACTCTCCAAGTCAGGCTGGTGGCTGCTGCAGCAGGACCAGCTCCTGCTCATGCTGGGGTGAGGTGGGCACAAGAAGAGTTAGGGGAAAACAAGGCCAGGGTGGGGTGGTGGGGAGACAGACGGAAGCAGGAGGATGTTGGGATGTACTAAAAGGTGGTATTTATCACTCACTGCTACACTCTTAGACGTACATGTATTAGCTCTGGAGGAGGGCTGCAAATAGGCTACGTTTTGGCTCTCCTCTGTAGCGCAGCTCCTTCATGTTTTCAACATGGTAAATTAGTCTCCAACATGCTTTATGCTGTTGTGCCTAGCCTGCCTTTGGCCCCTGTGCTAGCTAGGGCAACTCTCCATAGCGTCATGAGGCTTTATATTCCTCTGGGTTGCACTAGATACAAGCATTTGCATCTCTTGAAAGCTTCTCAGGTCATCCACTTTGCCTGACTGCTGTTGACTGTCCACCATGCTTTCCTGTGCTAACACACATTCACAAACATTTGTCCACAAAGGCTTGAAGTAAGTGCAGTGTTCTTAAAAAGAGGCAAAGATGCCGGAAGCTGCAGCTTTAGGAAGTACAGGTAAGGAAAGGTTAAGCAGACCAGAACATTGCTGCAAAACAGAATGATCTCAAAAAGCAGGTCAGTCTTTTCCTCCATACATTCACGTTCTGCCAAGAGCACAAACAAACTAGCACCGGGGTGGAAGAGGTTAGGGGTAGCTCTGTCCTTTGGCTTGTACAGATGTGTGCTGCCAAGGCAGATGTGGTTGGTGGGAGGTGAAACAGCTCCCAGCTCAGGGACCATCAGCCTTGAGGCTCTTCCAGAGCAGGCTGCTACTCAAAGCCCCTCCTGTTCCCTGTTTGCTCTGTGAGCAAAACAGAGCTGTGTGCAGTGCTTACCTGTGGCTTTGTTCTCACCTGCAGCTTACATGTTACACACCCGTCCTCTGTGGGAAAGGCTCATTTGCAGTTGGTGTCTCTCAAGACGTTAGGGCTTATCTTTGCACACTAGTAACACAGAAGCTGCTCTGTGCTCCACCTCCTATTGAGATGTGAGTCTCATCTTGAACTTAGTGGTGCTTCTAGCTTTTGTTAGACAACACCTGAAAGAGACAGTAAAGACTTGGGATTGTGCAGTGCCTCATCCTCACCACTCCAAAGAACGTATCTGGGCTCACGTTGCCCATCTGTCACTGCCCTCAGCCCAATGTCACGTGTGGGACAACAGCAACACTAGGCTGCTCCAGGACATCAGTGCAGCTAAGCTGACTTGCTTCACTGTCGGGTATATTAGCAAAAATTAATTTTGATCCATCAGACCAAAATTAATTTTGGTCCATCAGACAGCTGATGTACCTGCAGTAGGTTAGAGGCTAGGTGGCTTGCTTACTTTGTCTCTTATTTTCCGTATCTGGTCCTTGCTGGGAATCAGTTTAACCACTGAAATGGCCTTATGACCACTCTGTGTGCCACCCCCCGAGGCCAGAGTTAATATCTTGTGTTACAGCAGGGCTACATAGGGAGACAGTCCTGTGTGAGGTCTATTAAAGTGGCGAAGTCCATCAATGAGAAAGAAAATTATATGTAGGAGGAAATAAAGCAGGAATCCATACTTTCTAGCTTTTACATTTCTGAAGTAAGATGTTTCCCCCAGCCAAGCCAACAGCTCTTGAAGAATATTCTCATAAGGCGTCTGAAATAAACCCTTCTTCCCCTACTACCTTCTGTCCCTTCCTTCCTTGTTGAAGTTACCAAAATCAGCAATAAATGAGAATAGACAGAGCTGACACTTTTCCAGACAACATGCTGTTCGCGAGGCCAGGCCAGTAAAAAACATTTTGCTGCACCGAGGTATAACTTAGAACTAAGTCCTGAGCAACTTCAGAGCAACAAAGTTGTAACAAAAGCTGCATCTAATGAAAGCAAGCCTTGAGAGCTAAGGTACAAAGCAATTCCTTTTGTTAACATTAATATTTGGCGGCCGGTGTAGAACACGTTAGGGTGTTTTAGTTGGGTTTTAAAGAAAGAAACTGACACAGAAAGAAGATAATGATTTTTTTTAATAGAGGATCTCTCTGGGGGTTTGCGTTCATATCACAAACATTCACTTTATTACATTTTATGGAATGGGCTTTAAATGCCAGTATATACAAGCCAACATTTCATTATTGGAGTTTGTGTTTATTCACTTGCCATTGTCAGTCTGTTCCCCTTTGCCTCCTTGTGCTGCTCTTTGTAAAAGCCATGATTTATGAATATGTGGGTTAGATCTTTCACAATATAGTGTGGTGAAGTGGTTCGATAAAAAGTTATTAAAGTAAAAAAATCCATAGCTCCGTGCGCTTTGCCCACCTTGTGTAGGAGCCCCCAGTAAGAGACTCTTACACTAAGCAAACACCGTATGCATGAGACTAATATGGCCTACATGCTGAGCAGCCTCCCTCAGCCAAAATTTTTTGGCGGCCACTGCAGGCAATTACTGTGTTGCCTACGTAACTGCAGGATTATGCCCTCAAAGTTATGGAAGTTGCATAGACCAAAAAGGAGGGAGGGGTAATTTGCCATAGAATGTTAATTTTAAAATCAGGAAATAAAAAACTTCCAGTAGCCCTAAGCTACATCGTACCAAATGGCATTTGGTTCTCAAATGTAAGCTTGTGCATGCCATGTATTTAATTTATTTTTAAAGCAAAGCTTTCGGTCCTGCTGATTACAGAACAAACAAAGCTGACTGGCAGTTTCCAGAGCCCACTTAGAATTTCTGCGGGAACCTAGCACTGTTTCAGCCTAGAATAGAGAGTGAAAGGCTGATTTAGATCATCGTACCTCAGCCCATGCATAGGTTTTTCACCTAGCAGCACTGCTGACTTGCCACAGACACAGACACATAAAAGAGAGGATGACAAATTGGCCACTTTTGCATATGGCTGGCAAGAAACAAGAGCTGCTTATAGCAGTGAAAGCTGAAGGAGGCACTCTCCAGGATGGAAAATAACTTGTGAGGAAGACGTGGAAGGTGGCAGAATCTGTTCAACTGCAGCACAACAGGAAGAGTATAAGAGGTGAGTTACAAAACAATTTTGCTGCCTATATTTTTTGTTCCCAAGTCTCTGAAAAAATGCACCTCTACAAATAAAAAGCCCTCCTTCTGTCTCAGGGATGGATAACTTCAGCAAGTAAGGATTACCTCAATGGGTTGTCAGGTATTAAAAGCAACAAGGCGTACCACCGCACTGATACCAGCACGGGAATCACCGGTCTGGCACTGCATCACCCCCAGGACAAGGAAGCACGGTGCATGGGAGCTGTTCCTCTGTGCACAGCACACCGCTGCCTTCGGGCTCTCGTACTTGAACAGAGGAGCTACGGAGACAGCAGTCACAGTCCCTCTGTTGCTGTTATCTCTGGCAAACAAAGAATAACAGCTATAATCCTACATCCTCTTGGAGATCTGAACTAGAAAGCTCCAACTCACTTCAGAGGACAAAGACAATTTTACCACCTGTAGTGCTCTGTGGTCTGCCACGTGCAGTCCTGCACACCTGTCTCCAGCCAGGTGAGAGGCTGGATGCTGGAACGAAAAGCAGGTACAAGCACAAGAGCTCAGCACAGCCACTCAGCTGAACAAGCAGTTGTCCAGAGTCAATGTTGCTACTGCTTTACATCTTGTATTCCTCAGACACTCTTCGGCTCTGTACCTCAGGAGACACAACAGTGCGTTTTGTCCATGTTGGATTCGCTGAGGTTAGACACCTAGATGCCCATTGGCAAGACTCCTGTCCTGCAGAAGCAGGAGAATGAAGCGACTCATTTCTACTAAAAATATAGGTAATAAGCCCAGTAGAACACATTGACCAGCATGAAAAACAAAGGGAAAAGCAATTTGGAGTAGTGGTCTACATTGCTGGGGTTCTGAATTGTGAAATAACCAATAATCCTGTGCATTTTGTTTCTCAAAACACATTTGATTTTCTCATGAGTTTTCATGGTCAAGTCACTGCAGTTTACATTATCACTGGAGATCTCAATGCTTGTAAAGCTGATTTTCCGTTTATAGCTGGTGATGGAGCTGTTGAGGATGTTGGCGATCTTGACTTCTTCCACTTCTTTAGTGAGTTCATTTGCAGGCCTCTAGGAAACAAGAAGGTACAGTTAGTTTTAGGGTTTGTCTTCTCCTGCAGAGGAAAAGTCCTTAAATCAATAGGGAGACTATACAGATAAAGATGATAGAACACAGCTTCATATGTGTTCATCCCAATATTCAAACATGCCTTTCAGCTGCTGCCTGTTCTTAGGAGTGCCTGAAGTCCCAGAGATGCCTGTGTTTCCACCACTGTAATTCTAGAGGTATTTTGATCTTTGAGCAAGTCTCACTCTGTCACTGAGCATTCCAGCATCCATCTCTTCATGTCTACCCAGTAACTGAATCACTGGGGAACTCAGCGAGGTGGGAAACCGCTTTTCCCTCTGACAGGATTTGGACCCTGGATGACCACTGAACTATAATCATACTTTGGCTGCATTTTGAAAGGAACAGAGGTGCTTCGTGCTCTCACATGAGCTCGGCTCAGGGCTGCAGGCCTGATTCTAGTGGTAGGCCCAGGTGCCTTCCTGGATGTGGTCCTGCCAATCTAACGTGACTGTCAGCTAAGGCTGCTGCTCTTTCAGCTGGTGTGCAGAAGCTGTGTCAGAGACACAGTGGTCTAGTGCTATTTGTGCGTTTGTTGCACACAAAAATTTAGATTTAATGACAGGAGAAGCAATTGTTACTGTATCCATAACAGGAAGACCATTTGTCTGTCTTAGTTAATAGAAGACTAATTATTATCGATCCAGGATAACTAGGCTTATTCAGCTACATCAGGCTTTACCTCCTGAGGTGCTTTAGTTGCACGCTTTTGTGATGAGCTGTAGTGAGCCACTGCGTATTCCACAAGGGCACCAAAGATGAAGCTGAAGCAGATGCCAAGGTAAACATCGATGGCCTTAATGAAACAGTTGGTTTTCGAAAGTGAACTTCGTGAGCCGATCATCAAAGTTGTCATGGAAAGCACTGTCGTTACTCCTTGGAAAAGAAAGACCTTCTTTTGTGGACACTTTGAAAAAGGTGTGGCCTATCCTTCTGCACGTGTTTTCACTCTCTATTGCTAGCCAGATAGAGCACAGCATTTCTTAACCACATCTAAATCATCCATCAACTGAAATGCTTTTGCAGTGGTAGCTACCAGCTTCACACAGGCTCTTCCTGCCTTTGGCAACTTGGCTTTTCTTATTTTTCTTGCTTTCAGTAAAAAAATTCCCCCCTCCCTGCCCCCTCCAAAGCACATCACAAAGAATATGTGCTCTGTCCTCTACTCTGCTGTGAATCTGCTGGGAGCCTTTGCCATACACAGCTCTGCAGGTGGGCAAGCGTGCCAGCCACAGCGTATCTTCCACGCTTCATCCTGCTAACCCAGCTCTGCCACAAGTAAAACCGAACGTGAGCAGGCCGCTTATGACTAAGCAGAGAGCTTAAGAAAACTGTCTACCCAGCCCTCAGAGGCTGCCCTGCCTGCTTAAATCTTCTCCTTCCCTCGGGCAGTAACTCACCAATGCAGGTTCTTGCAGGCACTGAATCCAGTGTGATCCAAAAAGAAACCCAGGACAACATGACAAGCAGAGTGGAGGGCACATAGGTCTCCAGAATGAAGTAAAGGACATTTCTTCTCAGCTCAAACTGCAGTATCAGTTGTGGGTAGCTGCCTGTTTGCGAAAGGAGAAAACACAGTGAACATGAGATTCCCAAGGACACTCGAACCGACATTAGGCCAGCCCAGCACCAGCCCTTCAGCTGATGTACATGAGCAGAGCTGCTCTGAAATCTGGGGGATGCAGGACTTGTACAAGCTGGGCTTCGTGCCTCAGAGGTGTTATCTAACGTATCCTGGGTGAGAGAACACACACACACAGCAGTCCTGGACAAGAGACCTGAAACAATGCACAGCTTGCAAAGGGGCTCCTGAACTTCATCCACAGTGTAAAGATTTTATCCCAGTATCTTGACTCAGAGTAGAGAGGGGCTGATGCCTTCATCTATTCTCTCATATGCAGCACAGCACGTTTTTCCCAAGAACTGCTTTGAAGGGGCATTATCAAGTTCAGTCTTAGCTGATAGCTGAGAAATAAACAAAAGATTTTTCTCGCAGTTTCAGCAGGCTCTGGCTCACATCCCAAAGCATCCCAATATCTTATCATCACATGGAATTAGACTTGCTGTATTCATTAGTAATTTGTGATCTTTGATAACTGTGTCTTTTTGTGCTCAAAAAAATTCCCTCAATTGTTTAAAATCAATTTGTCGTAATACTGACGGAGTTCTGGGGCTGCAGTGCTGGTATTTTCCGGAGATATTTCTGCTGGTTAAACAATAGTTCCCTTTGAAATGTAGAAACAAAACCCATGTTGTTCATAGGCTGTGTACACTACAGTAAACAACAAAACATTGTTATTTTTAAAACCTGGTCATTCTAAGGAAGTTTTGCCCCCTTTCTTAGTGTCTGTGATTGGAGAGAAGAGTATTTACACTGATAATGAGAAAGACCTTGAATTCTGAGGTACAAAGAGATCTTATTACATCATGATAGAATTGTCATTTGCAAACAAGAGTATATTTTAGAAGTTAATTTTACTCTCAGTTACTGTAAATATGGCTCTCTATTTATAGTCTGCACATCCGGGGAGAAGGAAGGGAGTTTCTTCAGGTATGTGTGGAGAATTAAAAAAAATAAAATAAAAAATTGAAATTCCATCAAGTGAATATAGTGTATTAAAAACCCCCATCTTTCCATAGATTTCTATCTTACAGAATATCCTAATTGCAACTAATTGGATTTTACCATCTTAATGTCCATCTCTTTTTGTGAGATAAATTTACTAAAGACTTCGCTGGTTCAGCCTTGAGTCAAAAGATACTGGCCCATAGAAGGGAAAGGAGGTGGGAGGAGAAATACTTGAGAGATTTTTTTGCTTTTCTCTTCCACTGATTTACCTGTTTCCTGCTGTGACTTCGAGACCAGGGTATAGTAGCGTTCCACCGTGTACTGAGAGAGCCGCAACTTCTCTATGCCGTGGACAGAGTCGTTTCCTCTTAACCACGTAAAGATGACATCATTTTCATCATATCCCCCTAAGGAAAACACAAAGACTGATATCACTGTGGTGTCGCCAGTAAAAGCTCAGCTATTTCCCTGCCCTGCCTCCTGAGGGGGAACGGAAACACGACCCAGGCATTGCAGGCTGGACAAAGACCCTCCCTAACTGTGTCGGACTACGAGTAGACGTTGGCTGTTCTTTCAGTCTGATGGTTCAGATTCAACAGGAACACGCCCCACTGTGAACAATGCATAACGTGGAAAGCTGCTGAGAACCTATTTCAGTAATTTACATGGGGTATTTCCATTTTAAAAGATCACGCATTCCTGTCATCTGCAGTTTGATTACATGCAGCCGCAGCAAACCACTGCAGTGATCAACCCTCAAACATGGGCCCTCAGTCAAAACAAACCCTCTCAGTCATGAGAGGCGAGCAGGAGAAGCGCAGTTGTTACAAAAAGAGAATACAGATCTCATTGATAGGTAGCGGAAGCACATTTCACTGAATCGTCAATATTTAAAAATACCAGAAAAGGCATTTTCAATTAGTCAAGAGCTTGGAGCTGAGGCTACGTGTTACGAGGCGGGCTCTTCTCACTGGATGTGCATTGTCCAGAAAACTTGCAGCTTTTTCTACCAAATCTTTCCTCTTATCTGCAAAGGCTTTAAGTTACGGAGGAAAAATAAATGCTTCCAGCATTTAGGTAACACTGAATTCCTGCCTCAAAACTGTGGGACAGATGAGATCAACAAGTCAATCAGTTATCAGTAAACTCTACGCGCCGGGTGAGTAATTGCCGCCAGGAATGTAAATGATGGTGTTAACATGACTTCAGGTTGGACTGAGGGATGCAGCTTGTACTGAGTCACTAGCTTGCCATTCACTTCAAAAATGTCACTTAATTTGGGAAACAAGCCTATCGATCTCACTAATTTGATTCTTTTATTAAGTGCCTTTCTTTGAGAAAATGAGTAGGGACGCTTTGATTCCGATAATAACCTGTTCATGCTGGTAGAAGGAATAAGATGCAGTTGCAGCTGTTTTTATCTAATTGTGTTTTCTTATTAGACACAAATTACCAGAGCTTAAGTGTGATGAACTCCTAAATTAGGTGTCCAGAGTATGAACCCCTGCGGAGAAGCCTAAGCACGTGACTTTTCAAAGTTTCTAAGCAGTTTTATAAATGTGGTTACTCAGGAAAATTTTATAATAAATGATAGATTGTTGTTAATTTATCTGGTGTATATTTAAATAGCATTATTTCTGGGCACTTATCCTAATGAAATCTCCAGTGGGCAATGTTCATGTAATTTCATTGGAATTATACAGCAACTGAGCATGATGTAGGACTCAATCACTTTTAAAAAAGGCCCAAACAAGCTATGCTTCAGCAGAAGAGGCCAATCATTATGATGTCAGGAGCTATTCTTCGTAATAAAGTTAACCATGGTGAACTAATATGATTTTAATGTGAAAATAATATATGCTTCCGTAGGTGCTTCACGTCGCAACCCCGGAAGTTAAAATCCTATCTTTTCAGTATTGAGATTTTAGTTGTTTCTTTTTGTGACATCAAGTGGGAGCTGGTTGCCTGCTTGGTGTGGAGCTTCACAGATACAGAACGGCCCTGTAGTGTCCTAAATTTTCCCACAGTCTTTGCATTTACGTGCTATCAGTTCCCAGCCAGCCTTGCCATGGATGAGCTTTTAATTTAACTGAGAACAGAACTCACTGACTCTTCCTTTTCTTGAGATCTCCAAGGCTGAGGCTGCACCTGCTGACAAGGATCCCCTCAGCTGCATGGCTGTACCGGACAGCCCTTGTGGAGAAGCATATAGCACAAGGCTGAATTTGCCCTTAGTTTCAGTTCATGAGCTTGAGAGGCACGTTCAACTCCTGTTCTAGTAAGAGCCACCCTTCACACTGTCTTGTTGCAGTGGGAGTTGGGGAGGCGCAACAGGTGGTAGATACCTAAAAACATGAACAATTGTTGCTTCCTGTACTCCATCCCATGCACTTACCCCACAAGTTGGTCTTGAAGAAGCTGTGTGTGCAAAAGGGACTGAATTTGGAAAACCAGACATTATTACTGCATCCTTTCAGTGCAAAATTGAACTATCTACTCTTTAATAAAAATATGATTTATTACCACTCTTTTGATATAAATTGCACGGTGGCAGGAATCCTCTAACAACATGATCCTCTAATACAACACAAGCATTTGAAGAATGATGAAGCAGAGTTGTTTTCTTTTGGATATCAGTATTTGTGGGAATAAAAGTCTACTCCGGAGAGCCACTGTGATGAATCCAAATACTCAGAATGGATAGTTACATACAAATAAACAAATTTAAAGCAAAGTAATTTTTTTTCTAGAGCATTATACTTACAGCTTTCTAGCTGCAGTCTGCATGTTTGTGTGTCCATGGGATATTTTGACAGGTCCATGTTACAAGCGACAGTAGTAGTGATTCTGTAGGAAGAGAAAGAACTCCAAAAGTTGCAATAAAAGCCTGTAATGAAACATCTGTGTTTTTCATAGCAAACTAGACTGCAAGGACTCTGCTCTGTCATTCAGATAATTTTGACCTATGAAATGAAGGGACTGACATAATCAGAGAGCACCTTCCTTAGGGGAGAGCCGCACTGATGACAACATAACTGGAGGAGGAATTTTGCTTTGCTGTGGTGGCTGATTTAGTGTAGATCCACATGTTTTCCAGTGCTGCAGTTTGCACATCTTAAGAAGTTACCACTCGTCACCTGAGGCACACTACCTAACTGCACACATACTCTGGCGTGCTCTGATGTGGAGGGTAGGTGAGCTTATAGCAGCTTTACTTTGCAGTTCAGGTAACTGGGACTGAGGAGAGGTAACGCACACAGATACAGCGCACATCTCTGCACTACATGTACAAATATGCTTTCTGCTAAAAAGCAGGAATCATGGCTACATGGCACTGGATAAGAAAATGATCTTACCGCTATGGTCTGCCACTGCCCTGGTTTCGGCTGAGACAGAGTTAGTTTTTCTCTTAGCAGCTAGAAGAGCTCTGTGTTTTGGATTTAGTCTGGGATTTGCCATGAGAAGAATGTTGATAACACACAGATGGTTATAGATGGTGCTGAGACATCAAGGACCTTTCGGCTTCCTGTGTTTTGCCAGTGTGCAGGAGCACAACAGGCTGGGGGGAGCACGACTGGGACAAAGGGGCCACAACTTCCCTTATGGTTTGAATATAGACTTGGGATTGAGGGCTAAATCGGCCAATAGAGTATTCCATGTCGTGCAACGTCATGCCCAGTATATAGATGAGGGTTGAGCAGGAAGTTGGCATTCTCTTCTGAGAACTCTCTCAGAGCGCGCGAGCTCGCTCTCCTTTTAGGCCTTTCACTCGTCTGGGATTGCGGTGTCAGGACTTACCTGTTTCGAGATCACTTGCTGGGATGGGACAGGCATTTGTCACCAAGTGGTGAGCAATTACATTGTGCATCACTTGTTTGTATATGTTATTTTAATTATATATTTTTCATACAATAATATTATTATTTTATCATTATGATTTTTAATTTTATATTATTATTATTATTAA